TCGTAGTATCCGGAGCAATTCCGTCACTAGCATGTTTGAAGTGTTGGTAGGTGTAGGTCTGATTCTGTGATCGAGGAAATGTTGATAGATTGAATTAAGTTTAATACCCCGTTCACATTACAGCCTATATCACGTAATATAGGCTGTCTTGCAATGAACACTCATACAAAGGATTTCCAGTGAAAACTAGATGTATGAGTGCTCATTGCAAGTCAGCGTATATCACGTGATATACGCTCTAATGTGAACGGGGTATAACTTCAGGAGAGCGAAACATCCCATGTTGACGAGAGGGCTGATGATCACATGATCTTCCATCCATATCACAAAAAATATTGCAATGTAACCTTATTGTTATTATATTTTAATTAATATGCTGTCCAATGACAATTCAAATGACTCACTTATAAACCTGAGTACTGCGAACTAACTCAAAATGCTTGTCATCTGGGAGCCGAGTCAAACTGTCAAACGGGAGCCAAACATTGAAAAGAGCTCAGAAGTCACGTAGGTAGTTACTGTTTGAACCACAAGTAAAGGTGTTGCCACCTACTGAAAACAAATTAATAATTATCATTATGAAACTGTGGAAACATTAACCTTAGTTGGTGGATAATGTAAATCATCGAGCGGAATGCTCGAAAAAGTATTTTTATTTGATATTAATAATGCCAAAACTGGGTTGCTGAAACAAGAATGTAATCAAACTTTATAAGAGTCATGTAAGCTTTGTGCGCAGGTGCACTCCCATCACCATGTATATGTTATTTCTGGAGCAGAGGAGGAGGAGCCAAGAGTTCATTTGACAGCATGTATATACAATTTCGTGAGCTGTTTCAGCAAAACAATTTGAAACTTCGGAAGATTTTCAAGATGTTTTCTAGCTCACTTGAAAAATAAAATCGGCTGAGTTCGCAGTACTCAGTTATAAACCGATCAATTATACAAGAACTGTGTAATATTTACTCAGTTCTGTTAATTTTCTTAAAATTAGAACTGAGTAAAAGTTACTCTAAATTTGACAGACGCATCCATCACTGAAAAGTGAGTAACTATGTGTTTACTCACTTTAGAGTAGTTCCACTTTTACCGAAAGTGAGTAGAATTCTACTTACTTTTGAGTAAAATTGAATGAGCGTGATGCGTATCCTGGGCGCGGTTTATCAAGCATTTCAACCAGAGATAAAAATGCCGAATTTTTCCGAAGGATAAAAAAAGCGGCTTTAAAACGTAAAAATAATTAATTAATTAATTTATCTTTATTGGGGAGGCTTTCAGCCTGGGGCTGGTTCGCCTCCAAACGTAAAAATACAAATTCAGGATGAGAAAGCGTGGCGATTTGTAATTCAGACCCGGAAAGCGATAACGATTTTGAAGAGATTTCCTAACGGTGATTTCGGAATCAGATTCAGAATATTCAGTCAATAATGATGATAGAGATTATGAGTTCCATTATAAGCTCATAGATGCAAATGAAGTCCAGAGGTTCGGAATCGACAATCAGACATACTTGGTTGCGGAAGTGTATGGGAGACTTTTAATGCTTGCACAGGCAGTAAATTGAAAATATGGATTTATTTAAGAATATGGAAACGGAAGGAAGTATTTTTGATTGTGATAAAATGACCGAGGGAACTGAAGAAATGATTCAGCATGTGCATGATGATGCCAGAAATGAAAAGGATGAAGGTATGTTATAAATAATTCTTAATTATAGTTTATTGAAGCTGATTTCCCTGTATAGCAAAATTTCAATTAAGGAAGAAAGCATAATGAATGCCGTTTTCCAAAATAGTCTGTTTTCCTAAAAAAAAATGTTCATGTCACAGCCCTAAATGAGAAAAAAAAATCAGGAGTGTTGCTCTTCAAAATAAATTTTAATTTTTTCCCCCATATTGTCTGAAAGAATAAAGGTTTCACAAATTCGTAGGTGGTAAAAGCCTAAGACCATTGTTTGGGAATATTGCAACCTCCGTCCGTTACCGAATTGACTGAGATGTGAGAATGATCTCGACCTCTTAGATGGAAGTAGCACTATCTCACACCATTGATAAATGTCTTGGCCACGTCCTTGCAACTGCTGGGGCAGGGAAGGATTATTAGTTAGATGCTTACTTAAAAGAGATGCAGAGAACTCTACACGCAGAAAAAAAATTTTAAAAGTAATAATATTTGACGTAAAATCAATAAGAAATTCATTTTGTTTTGGCTGCAAAAAGAAATCATTATTGTTTCAACAATCCAGTATTTTTGTTTCTAAAAACCCATGGATTGTTAAATCAAAAAGAAAATCTTTTAGAATTTACAAGAGCTTTCATGGTTTTGACGTAAGCTGTCAAATTTGGGAGATGGGTCAACAACAAAAATATGTTTGTTTTTAAAAGAGATTTCTTGTTGATTCAATCTGACAATTTCCGCAGTAGAAATAAAAATGTGTTTATTGATGTAAAAATAAAATGGCAATTTTTTTTATGTTTCGTTTTCATTTTGAAACAAAATTGCAGAAATTGTAATTGAATTTCTGACCCCGGTTCATGAGTTGATGGGTCGATATGTAGGGTCCAGATGTGGGAGCTGCCTTCCTGGCGTCGGGAGCATTGGTACTCAGTACGGAAAACAAGATCGACGGAAAAAAAATAAAGGAAAAAAAAACAGAAAAATTGATTATATTTATCAACTGCAGCTCGAATTGCAGCATACTTACTTAACTCAAGTCTCAAGATTTTCGAAAATCTTGCACTTATTTCCCGAAATTTACAATTAAAAACAATACTTACGTGAAACGCGTAAGTATTGTTATTGTTTACATTTTTGTCCGGGTGAAAACGAGGCAATGGTTGGTAGTTATTTTTGCTTTCATGGCCCAGAGAATGGACACAGCAAATAATTGCTAAATTAAAATTAACTATTGTTGGCTTCATCATAGAATATTGTTATTTTTACAATAGTTGCAGTTGAAAAGTGGCTGATTTAAACAAAAAGAATCCTATTTTGAATTTATATGTATAAGTATTATTAAAACAACAAAAAGCAATATAATTTCAACTGGAATTGTTTGCTTAAATACAATTAAAGATTTTTTTGATCAATGCAAACAATTTTCTGTCCGTGTACGATTTCATAATTGTCATAGGAGTATGGAGGTTTGTTAGTGGGGAGGGTAAAGCTATACGTTCGGTTAACGTTGCTGACAGATTTATAATAGCAATGGGGATAGAATAAGGCATAGTGGTCCTGCTTAAAAATAGCTTATTCAACTTTTAATTAGCTCAAATTGATTGTTAGAAACCTCAAGATGAATTTCTAGCTGCTTCTAAAAAAGTTGTTGGTTGTGAGGAGAATAGATGATTAATTTCAATCAACATTCCGAGAGTTCAGATGAAGGTTCAAAGAGACTTACAAACATAATACATAAAAAGATAGTTTCGAAATAATACCAACCAGTGAACACTCGTGTTTATTTCAGTTACCATGAGGACGTAATTTGTAATTTGCCCCGGTCCCTTTCAAATTGTATTATTATTTATGTACGGTCCTAATATTTGAAAAGATGTTTCACATTCATCTAGAGATGGCCGATTTTCTTTCGAATAATCGATTAACGAACCGAAAAGTAAAATATTTGTAATCGGTTATATCATGCCGATATAAGCATTAACTACTAAGGATGATGCATAACAGAATTTAAAGAAATTCAAAGGAAAGTTTAAAAAAAATCAGAAGTGAGGAGAAGCTTGAAGGGTTTCTGATAACAGTTTTGACTACAGTTTGTGTTATGGTGTTTGATGTGTCTTTACTAGTATCAATATGCTGATTTATATTATTTAGGGGCCGTCCATTAATTACGTAAGACTATTTCAGTATTTTTCAACCCCCCTGATTTTTTCCTAATAAATCCGAGAAATAACAAAATAACTCCTAAAAATAAGAAAATCCTAGACTCCCCTCCCCCTATAAACCTCTTACATGTATCAGTTTGTTTTTAATCTTAACTAAACGCATGCCATTACATTCTCAGATAATCTTATAGTTAAATTTAATCTGCGAGATTTCAATACTTTAGAAAATAAACACGAGTTTAGTATATGTATTAGTATCCTTGCACTATAACCAATACATGAGCTCAAATCGCTAAAACATACTAATATATACAAAGCTTGAATCCAATCTGATTTGCACCATAAAGATAGGTACCGTCTGGTATGCTCAGTGCAATATTCGGCGGTATCAATATTCGGCGACTGCTTTTCCGTTCCGTTTTCTGATGACAAAATTACGCATTTGCGTGCACGAATCGCACGGAGTTTTTGGCTTATTCAATAAATAAAAATAGCGAAAATTAATTGAAGGATTTTCATACTAAAATTTGTCCAATCGCTAGAAATTCGCGATCAATCATATAAATTCGTTTTTCATGAAAATGTATGTTAGAAGCATATTCACCAAGTTTGTAAAATCTTCAAAATATCGAAATTGAAATAATGGATAATATACCCAAACGAACGGTGGCTCATCTCACCCCGTATGATCGTCTTGCTCCCATCTACCCTAGATCATTTCTTGCACTTATTCTTGAATCGTCGTTTTATGGCTAACACTTGGGCATTCAGAGAATTCTATTGTCCGGCAATTGGAAGTCCAAAAGACTACCCGCTGCAATTGGGTAGGCCCAATGGTGGCTATAAATTTGTTTTCCTGATTTGTTTGCCGTCGATCTTGTTTTCCGTACCGAGTACCAATGGTTTGGCATTGGTTGCCAGGGAAGCAGCTCTCACACCTGGACCCTACCTATCGACCCATCAACTCATGGACCGGGGACCAACGGATTTACTTCCCGAAGGAACCGACTGGGATTGAACCTAGGCCCTTTGGGGTGAGAGGCAGTCACGCTTACCACTACACCACCGGAGCCGCTGTAGGTGGCTATAATGCAACTATAAGGAAAATTCTAAACATCAATGAACCATGTAAACAATGTGTGAAATATTTGTTTATTTCATAATATCTGAATCATTACAATTTGCTTTGCTTTTGCTAGTTACTAGTTTTTCTAGATTTAGTGTTTTCTGTAACATGCTGGTTTCTAGTGAATTTTGAAAATGTTTTTGCAACTTTCACATATCTAAATACCCTCGGTAATATCTAGCAAATGATTTTGTCTCTTGACACTGATTGTTATGTTTACTTCTCTAAAGATTTGATACCTAAACATATTAGTGACATATCATGTCCTTCAACTAATAACAAATGTATTGTATTGTATGCACGATTTAGCACATTTTGTCAGCTTTCAAAATCAATTTTCTCGTGACTCTTATTTCAGTATATCACAAATAGTTACTGTAGCGCTAGTAATTGATATTTCTTGCAATGATGCGTATTTCTTGAATGTAAATGAGTTGATTGTTCCTGCGGTACTTGCCTTTTTAACTTCTTTGGGTGAATACATTCTTTTAGTTGTTACCATAACTAGATTGTCATCAGCGTGTTCTAAATTAAATAGGGATTTGGTATTATTTGAAATACCCTTAATCGTGGTATCGTCCAATGGATGGTTGATTCCTTGCTTCGGGGAGGGTTGTTTTTCCTCGGAGAATGTTTTGGTAATTTTGATCTTTGGTTTTGTACTATGGGATGAGTAATGCTTGACGGTGCTCATGATATTACATGTAATCTTTGAGGTACTGCTACTAGTGATTGATATTGGCGGGTCAAGCATGTGCGTAGAAGAAATTGTTGATGGTATTGATGATGTTGAAATTGGATTCAAGTATACGAATTTTGATTCATTCGAGCTTATCGGTGTAAGATTTGATACCGTTAAATTTCCTGTTGGACTATTTAAAACTGAGTAACTAGAAAGTTTAGAATTAGAGGACCACAGCGATTCCGATCTTAGCTTTATATCTGATTGTTGGTGATTGATATCAGCCTTGCTGGTGTTCATAAATGTTTCCGATAATTGTTTAGTTAACAGAGGTTGTGCTGCGTTTGTTTCATTAATCGACGGCCTTCTAGAACCACACGTTGATGGTGTTCGCGCTTGAATCTCGTAATGGATCTCAATTTTCGACTTTTGCTTCCGCCAAAAGTTGTGGAATGATTTTCTTATAACCTTATTTTTAATTCCGTATAATAAAGCATTGACAAACGGAGAAGAAAGCAGGAAAGTCAATGAGATTTGTAATGCAACTTTTGGTATCATTAAATCAGTCTCTATACTTTGCTTAATCCCGGCGCTCCATTCATGTTCTTCACGAAGTACTGCGATGGTATTGTTCCACAGATTGCAGATGTAGTATGGACAATAGATAATAAAGATTGAACCAACTAACTGGAATATGCTTGACATTGGGCTGTGAGTATGATTTTTTAGGCTGGCTGAATTTTGAACCACTTGGCTGGAGAAGCTTGGGATGAAAAACGGGTTTCGTTGATGTGTGATTGTCAGTTGGGCTGATAGCGTTACTTCGAGTATGGCCGATGCTATTCGGTGTCGTTGGTATCGAGCAATCATCAATACCTAAAAAAAGTAAACAAAATTACTAAAACTGCAAACTCACGTGCTCTCTTTCGAATTATATATTGTTCATCTCATATTTATTCCCAACTTGTCAACTTATACATTGTCGTAAAAATAACAGGGTCCATGTAAGTGTAATAGAGTTTATGTATTTGCCAGTAATGTTTCATATCCAAGACATCCTGGAGAGTTATTCCCAGGAAATTTATCAAAATTCACGTTTCCCGATTCGCGGAAAACTGGTTTGACTTCCCGGGAAACAGCGTCTTTTTTTGTACAAAAGCAATGCCAAACAAACTTTTTCTCTAAACATAAACCACACCACCCGGGGAATTAATTTATTGGATTTACTTGGGAAAATTCGAAGAACCTGTCTAGTAAAAACCAGACGTACCAGTAGAAACTTCTGGAGGCAGCAGGCAAAAGCGTCCGGGGACGTTGGAAGATACTTTCGGAAATAATAGAAAAACAATTTCCAGTGAAACTCTGGAAAAAAAAACTACCCGTTGATATTACGAAGCCGGAAGAAACTTTGAGGAGAATTCGCAAGAGTATACCGAAGGAAGTCAGATGAAGCTTCGGAAGAAAATAGGTGCAAACAAACTGTGGATGTCAGAAGACATACAGCTGGAAGAAAATTCCGGGGAAAGTAATAAGAAATTTCGAAGTTTTTTTTTTCATAATTCTTTAAAATAAAACAAATCTCATCCGATTGAGGCACATACATGTTCAAAATCTTAAACAATTTGAAGATAATCAATTTTAAAGATTTTGGACAGTGTTTCTTAATCTATGGTTCGCAGTTCAACAACTTGGTCAAAAGCATTGAAATTTTCTAATACTTAATTGAATTCCTAAGAGAATCTACTCCCTTAAATATGTTGACGTTTTAAAATCATTAATAGTGTTGTTTTGGCATTTTCAGGGTTATTTAAATAATTTCAGGACTATTTTGGTGTTTTAGTACAATATGACAATTTCAAGACCAGTTTGTAATGTTTTATAAAGGGAACTGACCGTTGCAATTGAAGATTGTGAGGTTTGTTTTTGAAATTTTACGTTTATGATTTTATTTTGGAGTTTTATATATTCTATTCAGATAATTCAGGTTGTTTTAGAGTTTTTAAAAGCGTTTTAAGTCCATGTTTGCCATGTGTGCCAATGTAGTGTGAATTTCTATGAAATATAATGCACATATTTATCATAAAACGTGCAGCATCATAAATCATACAACCACAGACAAACAGACATAACACTCGCAAGTTGTTCATAAAACAAGCATTTAACGGTCAATTAAAAAGTATCGTAGTTGGTAGTACCACCACCTATGGCGCGCATAGTCAATTTTCTTGCGTTTGACGTTTACACACTACCGCTATCTGTTCAGCGTACTACCCAACACAGTGTACTCAACAGATGGCGATAATGTTATAGCGACGATGTTTTACAATAATTAATATACAATGTGTTATCTCTGTTTGTCTGTGATACAACTATAGATCAGATATCATGTAATGTTATGAGACATTTCATGAAATGTGTCAAAATCGTACATTTTATATGTAACTAGCTGAGTGTTCCCGGCCTTGCTTGGGATTGAATATTAGCTTGAGTTTATGCGACGATTAAAAAAAAGCATGCTATATTTTTCTGTTTCATTTGTATCGGAGCCTTTCCTTACAGAGGGGGGAGGGGTCTCGATTCATCATAAGAACCTTTCCTGGCCTTAAAAATCCCTGCATACAAATTTTCACGCCGATCGGATCAGTAGTTTCCGAGTCTATAAGGGTCAGACAGACAGACAGACATACGCGATGGCGAAGATCAGTGGTCCAACGATGCCGGTTGAAATGTGTCCCAACAAGCTGAAAGTCATCGTGCAGGGACTTTTCCTACAGCATGACCCAACGACCTGGCTACCTACACCATATGGCGAGGAAGATGAAGACAACATTGAACAAGTCTCAAGCGAGGAACTCATAGCAGCAGAGAAAGGGTTGAAGGCGAATAAAGCTCCCGGCCCGGATGGAATTCCCAACGTAGCATTGAAGGCGGCGATCCAGACATTCCCGAACATGTTCAGGATGGTGCTGCAGAAATGTCTGGACGAGGGTCAGTTCCCTGATAGGTACACCCAACCGGGGGATGTAAGATTCGCTTACAATTATGTGTGATTCATCATCAGAGGATGTTAGTGGAGACCGCATGAACCGAGGATGCGATATACCTAGCTGCGGTCCAATGCAAGAAAATTGGAGACCGAAAAATGTAGAGAATGTACAGAACCATTTCGGTGGAGGCAGTATGCGTTATCGCCGGTATGATCCCAATCGGCATCACCTTGGCGGAGGACTACGAGTGCTATATGACGAGAGAAACCAGAGGAGTACAAAAAATTGTGAGAACGGTGTCGATGGCTAGTGGCAGCAGGAGTGGGATGCAGCAGAGAACGGTAGATGGACACACAGGCTAATACCGATTCTTTCGACCTGGGTGAACAGGAAGCATGAAGAAGTCAACTTCCACTTGACTCAGTTCCTGTCTGGTCATGGCTGCTTCAGGAAGTACCTGCATCGGTTTGGACACACAACGTCACCCTTAAGGTGGAATTCTGTCCGGAGTGTGGGAATGTGGAAGAATCACCAGAGCACGTGGTCTTCGAATGTCCTAGATTTGATGTTGTGCGAGAGGAGATACTCGCGCTTAGCACGGAGAATGTTGTCGAAGAAATGTGTCTAGAGCAGAGATGCCAGATTCACAGACATGTCTGTGACTTCACAGACTTTTATTTTTTTCACAGACATTTTTTTTCGTTACAGACATTTACAGACTTTTTAAGTTTTTTTTTCACAGATATTCACAGACTTTTGTAATCAAGAGAAATTTTTTTAATTTATTTGGTTACACTGTTTTACATCGTAAATCAAATTACACGTGCGATGCATTTTGCAACACGCATTAGAAATTCGCACATTTTCAAATCCACCACATGAACGAGCTGTCACTGTTATAGACGGTCATAGTTATAGATTTGTCAATGTGCTGCCATGTTGTATCCAAAACGAACATTTTCCATACGATTTGACGGTTTGTTTGGAAACGTCAACTCATGTTGGCCGGTCTATAACTTGACTGTCTACACGGACAGAAAATTGTTTGCATTGAACCAAACAAAACTTCAGTTGTATTTAAACAAACAATTCCGGTTGAAATTATATTGCATATTGTTGTTTCAATAATACTTATTCATATAAATTCAAAATAGGATTCTTTTTGTTTTAATAAGCCACTTTTCAACTGCAACTATTGTAAAAATAACAATATTCTATTATTAATCCAACAATAGTTCATTTTAATTTAGCATTTATTTACTGTGTCCATGAATGCAAAAATAACTACCAACAATTCCCTCGTTTTCACTTGTGAATTTTGGGAAATAAGTGCAAAATTTCCGAAAATTTTGAGACTTGAGGTAAGTAAGTATGCTGCAGTTCGAGCTGCAGTTGCTAAATGTAATCAATTTTCTGTTTTTTTCCTTGATTTTTTTTCCGTCAATCTTGTTTTCCGTACTGAGTACCAATGCTCCTGACGCCAGGAAGGCAGCTCCCACACCTGGACCCTACATATCGACCCATCAACTAATTAACCGGGGACCAACAGCTTTACTTCCCTTCCGAAGGATGATCAGTGAAAAAGAAAACAAAACATAAAAGTTGGAAGGGTTGTATACTAGATACGACCGCAGGGTTGGCGTTGGATAACGTCTGTTATGTGTTGTACTTAATTGTGTATATTATATTTTAGGAATATTCCTTAATAACTCTTTTGCGAAAGTTTGGTGGCCCTGCAAATGGCCGTTTTGTTGGGCTGATGTTGTTGGGTTTGCTCTACTCTGTCGCCCTGGAGGAGCTTTGGAATGATGTTGGTAGTTCGAAGACAGACAGCATCTCCCCTTCCAGCGTTCCCACACCCCAGTATAGTCCCCAAATTTAAGTGTAACTGTGATATTCTGGAAAGAAATTGTCTTCAAAACTAACTCTTTGTCGAATTATTGGTGACCCTGAAAAGGGCCGTTTTGGTTGTTGTTTTGGAATGATGGTTATGCCGAGCATGGGTACCGGATGGCGATGGCGATTTTGATGAGCGGTTTGCATGCCGGGCGCTTTGCTTCAACCACAAGTGCGGTGAACTCCGGGTAAATATTATTACCAATCAGTAGAACAACGCTAGGTGGTATGATGAACCGGGAAATCCACTCGAGATGTCGAGAGGGTTGATGGTTGTTTTGGAGGTTGTGATGAGGACGATTTTGGAACGGAACGGGTTGTGCTCGATGATGCATCGTTCTTCTTCACACAGTCTGTGAAGACGAGTTCGATTCTGAAATAAGTTTTGTAGAAATGCAATAAAAAGAAAATACATAATCAGCATGAATATAATTACAACCATTCATAATATGAACACTCACCGTCAGGCATCGAAAGCACCGACAACATGGGCCGGTGGTACGAAAAGTACGAAATGTACCTCGTACATTCAACCCGAATGTTCCGGTGGAAGGTCAAATCGAGACATGTCCCACCAAGGGTAGTCACCTGGGCTCGATCTGTGGCCAATTCTAGTTGGAGGTATTGCGACATGAAGGCGATGAGCTCGTTGTTTTCTGGTTTCGAAACATCGATGTTGAAGTCTCCAGTAACAACTATGGGCATCGGCGAACGAAAGTAGTGGATCAGGTTTCGCGCGAAGAAACACTTCTTCTGCTTTAACGTTGTATCTGGTAAAGACAAGAAACCTTATTAGTTTCCAAATATTAATAATAAATTCAACAGTAACTTTTATACCTCGTGATAGATACAACACAAACAGCAACGCACGAGTCCCCATGATCGACGTTTCTACTGCACAGATGTCGCCATACTGATCCGCCGTGCCCACCAGTGCATCCCGGCTGGCACTGAGTTGCTGAATATCGTGGGCTACCGCTATTTCCGATGCAC